CACAGAGCCTTACTTGCATGCCCAGTTCTCACATTGCAAAGCCTACAGTTATACATGGAAGGAATTAGCTTTACTGTCTCAGAACAGCCAGCCAAGATGATGAACTTGAAGCAGGTCTCAGTTTCCTCTGGTTTTGTTTCTAGAAAGCTCAGTCATAAGAATAATCAGTTTCCATCTTGGTTTTGCTGCAATAAGCAGGAATCAGGGTGCATCTTTCAATGCAAAGGGCCTTCCCCTCAGAGGAATTTGTAAACTGCAGTCCACGTAGTGTAACTTTACCCAGAGGTGCAATAACACCCCTTTCATAGCACAAGAATAGGTGTTAGTACTACTGTAATTTATTTATGAAGGCAGAATAGAAGTTAAGTCAATTTATTTTAAAGCCCTTATGCACCTGTCCGCACCACTGTGCCACTGTTGCCAGATCTTTTGTTTACGCAAAGTTCACCTCAAAGTGCAACAAATCAGCAAGAGGGAAGTTTGCCACTCACCCTGGGAGCACAAGGTGGATCTCAGCACAAGAAGTTAGTTTTCCCCAACACTGTGGCAGCAACAGGACAAGCTATCAACAACTGCACCACTCAGAAGCAAATACCTTCCTGAGCATAAAGACCCAGCACCGCTAAAGAAACCTGTGTATGTTCCATTCTCAGTCCTCACCCATGGCAGAGTTACATCCCAAACAGCCTGCAGAAGCCCAGCATTCTCTGCTCACCCCAGGTTAGCGCTGTACCAGCCTACCAAGCACAAACTGGTTCCTGAAGTACAAACCACTTTCTCACTGACCCACCAAGCTACACAACCCTATGCGCACATGTCACTAATACCCAAGACAATCTGTTCCCTCTATGTGTTCAGCCAACTTTTTAAGATAGTGCAGGAAAGCTGTGCATACCCTTTTTGGTGGTTTGCTGTTCTCAGATAAGAAGGGCAGAGGAAAATGCATTCCAACCTCTTCCAATTAGAATCATAGAATAGTTAGGGTTGGAAAGGACTTTAAGATCATCTAGTTCCAACCCACCTGCCATGGACAGGGATACCTCACACTAAACCATGCCATCCAAGGCTCTGTCCAACCTGGCCTTGAACACTGCCAGGGATGGAGCATTCACAACTTCCTTGGGCAACCCATTCCAGTGCCTCACCACCCTTACAGTAAAGAACATCTTCCTTACATCCAATCTAAACTTCCCCTGTTTAAGTTTTAACCCGTGACCCCTTGTCCTATCACTACAGTCCCTAGTGAAGAGTTCCTCTCCAGCATCCTTGTAGACCCCATTCAGATACTGGAAGGCTGCTAGGAGGTCTCCAAGCAGCCTTTTCTTCTCCAGGCTGAACAGCCCCAACTTTCTCAGCCTATCTTCATGGCATCCATAAGAACTGTGATGTATTCCACACTAAGTGCTTCCTTCCTTGGCACACATCTTGGCTCTCAGTCTTTTGGAAAAAGAGACTGAGGACAAGATGACCCAAAATTATTTAAAAATAAAAAACAACATTGATTGCTTGCCCAACCTTTGTTTTAATGCCATCTTCCAAGTACACATCTAAATTTTTTACTGTTACCACCTTGTTGAGCTTCGCAGTGTTCAATTTCCTTGATAGAGGTACAATCTGGAGTTCATTATTTAGGGAGAGTTTTATCAGGGCTGCCACTTTACAAAAGGGGGATTATCAGGCAGTTGAACCAGGCACTGAATACGTACTTGGAGCCAGAAAATATTTTCTGAAAGTTAGAAGTCCAAAGGCTTTGGGGTTTTGCTTGGTTTCATTCTGTTTCTGTAAACTTAAGAGTGTTTGTAACCCTCACTACTTTTTTAACTTATTTCAAGACCAACACAGACAAAAGTCTGTTCAAGTTGAATGTCCACTCTCTGCATATAACACTCTTCAGTAAAGTGTTCTTTTGCTCTGTGTGTCTCAGAAGAACACATTCTTCTGACACAGAGAAAGGAGGACTAGAACTAACCATTACCTTGTAGATATTTGTCAAATGGGATAATGGGATCAAACAGGATGCGTGTATTCATAGTAAAACATGAGAAATATCTTGGAGATTTAAAAGTAACCCAAACTCCAATCTGATGAATGGCCAACAGCCTTTGGGGAGCAGGAGACTTGAGCTGAATAAGGCTTCCAATCTGCAATTAAAGAACATTTGCCCAATTAAAATTTCATTAAAACTTGGCAGTTTATCAGATCCAGTATTTTTTTCATTTTTCAATGCTTTCATTAGAAAGTTCTCCCCAAAGCTAATATACAATGAAGCAGGTCACTAGAGAAGCTAAACTCACCCTATTTGACCAATCCGGGATTCACAACTGGTTTGAAGAAAGACAACAAATTCTCAATACCAGTTATTGAAGGTAACTTGGTAACTATGTTCCATTAAAAGCAAGTTGTTACACTCCCAACTCTAGCTGAACTACTGAAGCTAGAATAAGTCATTAACCACAATAGCAAGTTAGCTTCCCATATGCAGTATGACAGCAGATATTGCATGTGAAGTGAGAATATTTTGTTCTTGTACTAGAAAGGAGGTAGAAAGAAGAAAGGTACAATAAAACACCACCACTACCTGAAACACAGAATATCTCAAAGAGCATAGTTTCAGAGATTAAACACTTTCCCTGATTTTATGGAATCATTTATCTCTACTTTTGACATCTAATGGAAACTCATCATACTTTCAAGTTTTAAAGGCAGCTGCAGCATCATTCCATTCTTAAGTTAAACCATGCTGCTCCATTTCACTCTTCGGTTGACTCAGAGACTCCGGCTGTACCACTCAAAGCCACTCACAGCAACATGATGCTCGTCACCATTGCAAAGCACATGCCTCTCTACATTTGCCTGGGCCAAACTTCATTCCCTCAAACTGGAGGCTGCTTCCATGACTTTCAGCAGACCCATACCGACCCAAGTTACTACTCAACACACCAATAGCCTTGCTCTATTTTAAAGATAGAGTAATTGTCTTTTACCTAAATACAGTTTGTTCTGAGCATGGCTGGGTAAAATTCTCACAACACAACCTTTTCCACTGGCATCAACACTGGAGACTAGATCAGCAAACCCTGAGTACAAAGCCATCTGCCCAACCAAGGACAAGCATGCATTTGTTCTTGAACAGTGAATAGCCCCTAGATGAGACTACACTGAAGGCAGTTGAAGAATTCAGTCTGGAAACTCGAGTAGCTCATATCTCTGCTCTAAGAAGCCAAAAGGAAGAATGGGGCGGAAGACACTGCATGAAAAATAATAATAATATACCTGTACACACCTGTATACAGCTGTACATTTTACATGTTCAGCTGTATCTTCTACATTCCATGGCTTCACACATATACTATCCTACCAAGCAGAAGGCAAAAACCCGGCCATATTCATGCCACTGTTTGTACATACAAATGAATATTACTTGCAAACTCCTTACTTCAGGGGCATACACATGGACACAATTAAATCTTTTAGCAGGAACATCTTCTCTTTATTACAGAAATAATAAAACAGCACCCATAATTTACTTGGGCCTATACCTGCTGATGCAGCTTTGACATTTAAGTCAAAATACATTTAAAAAAATGCTTTGAATATTTGCACATCAGAGTCACTGATGAGAGATAAATAATCCCTAGTGGACGCCCATTTGTGGCAGGTATCTCCCTCAAGCAGTTCATTATGAATACTAATAAATGCTTTCCCTTTTCAGGTTCCTAGTAGCAGAACAAATTACCTGAAAGAAACCACTCTGCGGCAGTTCTGCAACACAACTCTTTAACACTACATTGGAGGGCTGTATTTCCCCCGTATGAAACCATCCATAACTTACTTGGCATTGACAGTGACATCACACTTGAATAACCTTTAGGGAGCCTCAAAAGGCAGGCACTTTACAACAGTATGCTGTTTAGAAAGCACTTTCGAGTTTCAGACAGATCCAAGGGAATCTCCCTGAGAGGTGGCCACTTTTATTACAAAGCACTCAGCAACTGAACAAAAGCACCATGTTTCGTTACAGCTTCTGCAGGGAATGCTCTCTGCTTTAAGCTGAGAGCAATTATGTGGAAGTCAGAAGTTGCACTGCAATAAATCACTACTGAAACTGCTGCCACTGTTCTTTAAAAACAAATACGTAAGTAGAGGTAGGCAATATCAAGAAAACTACACATGCTTTGATAATTCAGTGTTGATGGGTGGAGATTCTATCAGCCTCATACTAACAAAGAAGAAATGAATGGGACAGGTGTCATTCATTCCACTGGAATTACCTGTTTAGTCAAGCATCAGTGAATTGTCATGTCCCAGCAGTTATAAAGATCTGTTTTTTCTAAATGTAATATCCTATGCTTATGTTCCTATCTCCCCCAGAAAATAGAAGTAATTGCAACCTCTGCTTCTTTCAATGCTTACACACTATGCTGTATTCTACATTATAACTATATGCATAGTGAATACACACAGACGCAGCATAAGGTCCGAAATGTCTACTCAAAGAAACAACAGCTTACAACTGGCTTAAGAAAGAAGCACATGGAATGAAAGATTTTTCCTTATTTTACTGTTATTTCTCAGTCCTGAACAGTATTCACACATGAAAAACTTAAACCAAGACCATAAACAAAATCACGATAAAAAGACTGAGAGCATTATTGGAAGTGACTTGTTAACACTGTAAGCATACAGATAATGCATCTCAGCAAGTCCAGCTATTATTTGGTCAGTATTTCTCATTTAGCTTAATGGAACATGATGGATAGCCAAATGATAGGCAGTCTTTCTTCAACATCCTGAGTCAAGCAAGTATCCAGTATAAAAGAGCAAAACATTTAAGAAGAACAGGACATTTCAACAAAGCACACACCTCTTCATGCAAACAAGTAATGTAGGAACCAGTAATGACCTTTACATATGTCACTTTTAAATCTGTTTCAGAACTTTTCTACCAGTTCTCTCAAGACAAAATATGAAATACTCTTAAAAACAAAATGAAATCTTACGGCTTGAAATGCAGTAAGACAGCCTGCAGTTGATCCTCCTGAATAGTTGCTTGTTGATTGGCCAAAGTATAAGTGTAAAAAGTTGAATGAAGTTAATGATCAGTCCTGACACTATAAATATGTAGCAGATCAGAAGGTGGCAAATGAATTGAGACTTCAGAAAGCCAACGATGTCCATGATTTGCTGAGAAAGTAAGAGGGTACCTTCAGACCCAAAATCCAGAAGACAACCTGCAAAACCAAACAGTATCAGTGGTTACAGTGTGCATTTATTTAAGACAGAGTTCCCCATTTTACACTTAAATACACTAAATACACTAATATGAAAGTTAAATTCTATTGTGGAAAAATGCCTAATAACAATATTTGCAAAATTAATCATGGAAAGATAATACCATATTTCTGAATCAATTTACTTTTGGCTTGGGAAATAAAATTTCACATTCTGCAAAACCCATGACCATACGACTGTTCCATGGATCATAATACTCCTCTATCAGCTCCTCATTGATAAAATACAAGGAAAATAATCCTCTTATATTTGGATATGAATTTTATGTACGTCATAAGACATGTACTGAGGCCTTTGTTATCTTCAGAGCAGATAGCAGAGCAGCTCCAAAGTAAACACAATCTTTACAGTTTTTTTAGAGTTGTGCCTTCCTCTACAGGCTATGCCAGCATGCTCCCCATAAAGTAGCTGAAGCCCCTTAATTCTAGCTTTGTTGTCTTGTTCCCTTGTCATATTCAAATATCAGTTGACTTTGGCAAGAAAATAAAAGCTTGGCTATGTGCAATGCACACAAGTTGTTCAATTATGCCTTGACACTGTAATTCTGTCAGTTATACTACATAAGCCCAGAAAGGAAACATCAACAACGGTACTAACACATGACCCATAGTGTTTCCAAGAAAAAATCAACTCTTAGGTTGCTGAAGAAACATTTGTATAATTTTGGAAAGGACTGGTCCAACCTTAGCAGCTGAGCATTCAGAGGAAGTGTTCTCTGCCAAACATACTGGCCTACCAAACACTCATTGACCTCCCCCACCATTCCTACCACCACCACCAGTCCCATTTGTTAGCAGAAAAAATGTGAAGACAGTAAACAACACACCACTACTTTAAACACAGTTAAGCAGGAGGTGCTGCCATCTTGCTCCACTGTTTCTCCCTCGAAACATATGAGAGCTTGCCCAGGGAGGAAGCCCTGAGACACTATTTCTGAATGTGCCAGTCATAGGCAATAACAAAATGGCAGCTGTCAGCATCTCAGGGAATTAACTGATCAAAAAAATCTTTATGCCTATCCTTTTAGTTGATATGAGACCCATTATGTGAGGCATTGAGTCTAGATCAGTGCCCTAAACATTTGTTTTACTGACCTTGCTGGCTATGCTTACCACAGTGAAGAGCACACACAAGAGTTGCTGCAAAGTGCTAGGAAGATATTCGGCCAGGTTTTCAATCACAAAGAAGATCAAAAAAATTTAAGAAAGATAATATGCATTGTTGAATAAAGAGTTTATGGCAGTCCCAAGCCTATTATTAGCAAGGAAAATGTGCCCTTTGTGTATCACAGGCTTTGTTCCCTTTAAATCTTGCAGTACTATTCAGTATCAAAGGAGACACAATCTGTAGCTCAGAACCGCGGAACAGGCCTCTGTTCATTGTAATAACTGCTGTCGTGATACTTGGAAAACGTTTTTCCAGCTTTAACCAACCATTCTATTAAAGATACGTTTCTGAGGGTGGCAGACAACTTATTAGCATGGGCTTTGACCAAAGGCTTTGTTTCTGTTGAAGGCTAAGTAGAACTGAGAAATCTTGTCTAGTAGGAACCACTGCAGTGATTCATGTCCCAACTCCTCCATTGCACACTCTGAAGACAGAGACAAATAAAAACAAACAAACCAAACACAAGAGAGTAAAAAAAGAGTAAACCCAAGTTTTGAATGAATTTACAGTGAAAGATACAAGATTTCACTTCCCTAATTCAGACTACCATACTTCACAAGTAGCAGGATGAGATTACTTCTTACTTAATACTGAATGGTTTAAAAGACTGTGCGCTGCACCGAAACCCCCTGATGACTGGGTTTATCCTATTGTCCTTATAAGGTTAAAGCACTGTCTACTTACAGTGGACACTACTTGATATAATCAGCAGAAATCTACTGCAGTAAGCAGTTATCAACAGGCTTTGTGGACTAATTCCTGCATTAAATTACATTGAAATGCTATGCTTAAGTGAATAATTTACTCCACACTGGGTCTTTAAAACAAAACTTCACAGAATTAAAATAAATAAAGATGAGATGACCCTGATAAAACATAATTACTGTCTTACAATTTTATGAAGCCACAATGGAATGTTTGGAAGTAATTTATTCCTTTCACACCTCAATCATCAAATTTCAATTCTGCAAAGCTTCTAAAACACGTTTTATAGGCAAACTAAATCTTCCCAAGCCATACCACTGAAAGACATCTAACCTAACTTGCTTGTGAAAGGAACAAGAAATTAGAGAACTGCTTGTATTTTGCTTCTGTAAAAAACAGGGAGACTAGAAAGATTAATTTTCTCTTCTGATTAAATGCAAGCTGTTTTCCCTGCAAAATTTGCAAACATTGTATGCAGAGTGCTAACTAAGTATTCTTTCTCAGGCATAAGCAAAGCTCATTCTTGTAAGATATTTTTCTTATGATACTGTTTGGACTGTTCATTATCCACACTCAAAAAAAATGCAGTTTGTCCTTGGTACAAGCAACAGAAAAAAATTAGAATTTTATTTTCAAGAATCCATTCTGAGATTATTAAACAGGTCCAGAAACTTGCTTTTTAAGAATTCTTAGGAGCTTCTTCCACTTGCTCTTTGTCTTATTAAAGTTCCTCATGGGTAATATCAACATAACACCAGTTTAAATGATAAAAGAATCAGGTCTTTAATTCTTAATCCATGATGCTGGTTTAATAAATTACACTGATTTCCTTATAGATAATGACTGAAAATCACAGCAATCTTTTGAAAACAAAAGGGCCAATCAATGCATTTTCTCAGAAGCTATTAAGATCGGAGAGCTGCCAAGAAGCTCTCTTCTATCAAACACCCCTTAAAATGAATTAGGAAAAAATGGCCAGCCAGAACATCAAAAACAGATAGGGTCATTCTTTAGTAACAGTTTTTCTCTGGATGTAAAACAAAATACTCAAACCTCAAATGTCTGCCTAGGGAGCAAGCCAACAAGCATCTATTCATGCAACTAAGATCACAGGATGGATCAGGTTTAAAAGCTAACTCCACAACTATTCATTCTACCTTTTTTTTTGTTCCAAGTTTCATTCTTCAGCAAGATCCACTGTGCTTTCTACTTCAACTACTCTGCATTTCCTTCTGCTTAGAATAACTGACCGAGACACAGAAGTGATAGGCAAGGTGAAAACCTCTCTCCAGGAGAGGCTGCTGCCAATTAAAAATGCTACTTTATACTTCAAAGTCTGTAAGAGTTTCAAGGCTACAATTAGTGATCTTGTAAAGAACACAACTGTTTGCACTTTTATCAAAAGCACAATGAAGCAAAGAACTGTCACCCACCTTGTCCAAAGTTTAAGCAGTAAACGAGTCCTCAGGGTGTGGAAAGCAATACAGAATCACAGAATGCTTAGGGTTGGAAAGGATCTTAAGATCATCCAGTTCCAACCCCCTTGCCCCAAGCAGGGCCACCTTCCACTAAACCAGGTTGCTCAAGACCCTGTCCAACCTGGCCTTGAACATGGTACCTACCTGGCAGATGCTAGACTAAGCTAGCACTGTCCATACTTACACATAGAAGCAAAACAGCACTTTACACATTTTTTCAGGACAGTGTATTTCAAGTCTATACAAAGGTTTTCACTTATGTCAACAATCTGATATAGTCCTTAAATGCTTTGCTGCAAGTTAAGAACAACCAAGCACATGATGATGCTGCTCATTCTTTCATTTTCTCATATAAACCAGATTCTTGCCTGGATGCATTACAGAGATTACAACTATGAAAATATGCTCAGGTTATATTACAGCAGTTCCAGTAGTGAATTTCTTTAAGTGAATTTCAGTTACCATCAGAACAGCACGGACAGCACCATTGTATTTCATATTGGACTCCATTTTAACACCTCTTCTGCATATCAAACATATATGTAAGGCAAGTCACTGAGCATCAAATGTCAGCAAAAGTGAGGTTGTGTTCATTTTCAAAGAGAATGTATTTGTACATGCCACACGAAAGAAACCCCAGGTCTGCGGGAAGAATTATCCGTCTATCTGCCTCATGCTTCGTTAGGGTTTGAACTGCTTCTCACTTTCCCCAAGAAACACTAGAGCATTACCTCCTGTGTTTGATTTACATGGCAAGGTTGTTGGTTGGTTTGGGTTTGTTTGTTTGGGTATTTTGTTTGGCACTTTTTTTTTTGGGGGGGGGAAGGATGGGGGGGAAGGAAGGGGCAGGGACTGCTCTTGTGAGAAGGCACCAGGAGCATCAGAACCAATTCCAGCCACTTCCAGAAAGGACTAGCCACTGGCCAAAGCTGAACCCATCAGCAACACTGGTGCCTCCGTATTTAAGGGTAAAGAATGCTGCACAGCAGCTGTGAAGGAGGAGCAAGAAAAAGGTGACAAACAGCCCCGCAGACACCAAGGTCAGTAAAGAAGGAGGGGGAAGATATGTTCCAGGTGCCAGAGCAGACATTCTCATGCAGCCTGTGATGAAGACTATGGTGAAACAGGTTGTCCCAGTGCAACCCATGAGGGAGCATGGTGGAACACACATCCTGCAGCCTGTGGAGGAGCCCATGATGCAGCAGGTGCCCTGAAGGAAGCTGAAACCCATGGAGGGGACCACACTCAGAAGCAGGTTTTCTAGCAGAAACTGCACTCTGTGGGGGATCCAGGCTGCAGCAGTCTGTTCCTGAAGGTCTGTACCTTGTGGAAGGGACCCCATCAAAAGCAAGGCATCAGTGCAAGGAAGAAGTAGAGGCAGAGAGAAACTGTTATGGACTGACTGCATCACCCATTCCTCTGCACGACTCGGGGTGCAGCAGAAGCAGGGAGGTAGGTTTCAAGTTGAGCCTGGGAAGAAGAGGCTTGGGGGGAAAGTGGTTTTAGTTTTGTCTCTGTTTTTTCACTGCCCGACTCTATTGTTAATCATCAATAATCTTCCCCAAGATTAGTCTGTTTTGCCTGTGATG